CCCCCCCCCATCATTTTTTCACAGCCTCCAAATGGTTAATGTCAATCCAACTCATGTCAACAGGAAATCTAGGACAGATCTGCCGGGCAGGGCTTCCAGCCAATCATAGCACTTGTTTATTGGAGGGGATCTGTAGTCGTGGGGGGGGGGTGCCAGAGGTTCCCGTGGGGGCTTTTATCACGGCGGTGGCGTGGCCGTGCTTCTACGTGGCGTCTGAGATTTGGTTTGGTTTGGTTTGGTTTGGTTTGGTTTGGTTTGGTTTGGTTTGGTTTGGTTTGGTTTGGTTTGGTTTGGGTCGGCGGGCTGTATGTCAACGTCAAATAACCGGAGCAGATGCTGTCAAGTTAAGGCCTAATCCCATTAAGCCCCATTATGAAATCAAACCACTTGAGCTGTACAGATGTCAGGGAGGCCTGTTTTGTTAGTGACCATACTGTTCATAAGCAGGATGCAGCCTGGTCATACGCCCCCCCCCCCAGAGGAAATAACAAAGAGTCTCTGATGGGTTTAGCTGGATAAATAGGTGTAAGCCTCACATTAAAACACGGCCCGGTGATTCTTATGTTTCAGCTGGAAACAAGTAGTTTAACCTTGTGCGCTCTCTGTCCGTAAAAAGCCAAAGAAGCAAACAAAATAACCAAAGCCAACTTCCTAACGCCACTCGAACTGTGTTATTAGTATTTTTTCTAAAGCTTTTGTTCCAAATTGGTGTGTCGTCTTAAGGAAATATCTAATCAATGGGGCCAATTTCAAGGAAAAGGCCTTGATTTAATTTATAGTAGAACAAAAGTCGGGGGTCACATGGGTGAAACTATACAAGTGGCTTAAACAGAGTCTTAACCCTGCTTTGATTCTTAGTCACATGACAATGACATGAAATGACCAACTTATAAGATTTGAATTAGTTTTCTTAGTTTTCTTCAACATAAACATTAACATATTTAAAAAAAAAAAGGTTAAACCAAAGGTTGATGCTTTTTTTTAAGCTCTTGCCCCAATTTTTACTGAAGCTTTTGAAGTCAACAGAAACTTTG